TGGCATCATCTCCAGGTTTTTCTGGACACACCTCATCGAGCACAAATTTGTACTCTTCAGCAAATAGAATAATATCCAAATTTCGTTTCCAATCAACGTAATTTGGACCCTCAAGTTTGTTTTGGGTAAGAATGGCAGTAAGGGGATTGAAAGCAGTCATTGTCAATCTCGGAGACATTAAATATTTAAATAGATAAATCAGTTTGTATTATGAACATTAAAATTCAAAACACATTATATATATACAATCTATGCACCTTGAACAACAAATTTCGATGGGAAAGAAGCTATTCTTGCAATATACATATACAATGACAGATTTTCACTCCATAAACTTAAACAGGTCATACTCAGATAGAGAGTAAACTGTTAATTTACGCCAAGTGAATATCAACATTCAACATATATTAGTCCCATTGAACCAGCATGCATACTCAGATGGAGAGTAAATACAAATAATCAATGACTAGTATAACATAGTGATTATTCATAATATTTTTATCCGATATGGAAGAAGACCTACGTCAACGTGTAAAAACATTATATCACTAATTTTTTAAACCCGGGGACCAAGGGAATTGATCCCCACAATTACTGGAATTAAAAACAACAAAAAATAATTTCAAAATTTTAGAAAAACAGCAAAAACACCATCTAAACGACCCCGAAAGCCCAAAAAACGACTTTAGTCATGATGAATCCATGAGTATTGCCCACTGGGCCGTTTCGCATGGACCTGCCAAGTTTCAGGTCAATCGGAGTCCGTCACCTTTTTGACCTCCAATTTTCTGCCCTAATTCGGCAAAACTTGTTTTTCCGTTTTACATGATAAAATTCAACTTTCAGATTATTCTAACTCAACATCACCAATATTAAAAGGATACATCAAGTTTTCAGAATAATCAACACAATCCATAACAAATAATCACACCAAAAAACAGTGCAGGTTTTCAGAAAAACAAACTTTGCATGTAATTCAAAACTTGCATATAGAACATGATATTAATCCTTATGGTTTATCCTAATTATTTAATTAGACGTGAGTAAGCTCTGATACCAATTGTAGGAATATATACCACAGCGGAAGCAATAACAGAATCTTATTCACGTGTAATCTAAACAACTAGCACG